TAGGTCAGTTTTGTAAATTAGAGCAAACAAGACTCTTCCACGAATTCTATTTATAATTAATTTGACAGGCCCAAGGATGTACTTGGACAGCCGTTTTATCAATCCACTGCTGGATAAGGGCCTCTCCATGCAGCACAGGTCTGTTTGGGTTATTTGACCATACTTTACCATGCTAGTCAGTGCGACCTGGGGAAGGTGGCGAGTATAGATGTATAATATAGTACAATACAACAATGGATGTTGTTGCACTTTTCTCTGCTGGTAATGTAGGCCCGAGGATAACAGATTATTATCATGGTTGGCTATGTACGACGTGAAATTGATTCAACAAATACAACCACATTGCACGAATGGAAACAATCCAGGCCACAAATAAACTGCCAAAAAATTAGTCTGACACTGCATGCAGAGGCCTCTTTCGCAGGGTGTTTCACCCACTCTTCAATTGTGGTCTAATTACCAGTTTAGATTAAGGTTACCAACATTTTCCTCACCAAAAAGAATTCACCAATGGGCATGTAATATCGGAGTGGAGATATTCACTCCCCAACTATTTGGTAATTTATTGTGATTTATGGTCGCATGTGATTAATTTATTTTATTCATTTATTTATATTGTGGTGAAGAGTAATACCTCGAGCGTGGTGACATGGCCGCATGGTAACATGTTATCTGCTTGTTGCAGAGGTTTATGGTTTGAAATCGAGCGCTTGCCCTCGTTATTCCAGTGGGTGTATATTAACCATTAAAAGGTACACGCCGTCTGTTTCACAGTGGATGTTAAAGATCAGTGACGTCATTTTCACGAGTAGGCCATAAGGCTGAGGGGGGTGGGGGGGGGCACAGTTTATAACTTGTCTCCCAATACTATAGTTTGGTGGGTGGGGGGCAGCTACCCCGTTCCCTTATTCTATGCCCATGTCCACCAATTGCCTCATTGCATTATCGTTAATACGGCTAGGTGGATGTTAAGCTAAGGTGGTTGAAAAATTCTCTGTAGGATTTCGACTGCCTTGACCAGGGGTAAAACCCAGACTCTTTTGAGTGGAAAGGCCAGCATGGTTGGACGTGTATAACAGAGCACCAATAAGCAAAAAAACACATTTAGTTAACTCTATTAGGCATCTACATTACACGATGTCCAATGAAAATAAACACTGGTAAAGCAAAAAAAAAACACTTGATCCCGTGCGATATGTTTTAAAGGCCATATGACACGCAGCTGAGTTCATAGTGGAATACTTGTGGAAGCTGTAAATGTTATGGCTTTATTTGTGTAAACATGAGCGAGACAATTTTTTGTTAGGCTGTCGGGTGTATCTCATTTGCCTCCCTGGAACCTCGTGTTTTGTTTACGCGAGCAGCAAAACCTCCACGGGATCCAGCTCGCACTCCCAGGCCGACAGATTCTTCACGTTCCTGATAGAGACGTGTTGGGGGGGGGGGGCACTGAAGTGACGGCTAGTCCAAAATCAACAACACCGTCAAGATGAGCTACAAAAATGCAAGTCAAATAAACCATACGGGAGGAAATTCTAAAAATATGGACTGGGAAGACACGTTGGCAAGGGAGGAAAAAAAATATTTACGACAGATCAAGGAAGAACTCAAGTGACTTAAGATTTCGCTTGGGGAGTATATATGCCAAATGCTTTTCTGCTGTGCCCATGGAAGGAGTTTAAATGTTAACCCGTTATTGTTGCACACTCGAAATGAAGGACGTGGGCAGGTGCTCCAAATCGGGGGCAAGCACACTTATTGTGGTTAATAGCAATCTTGTGAAGAACAGCACCGTCACTCTGTAAAATGCAACAACACGTGTGTTACAAAAAGTAATTATTCCGAGTCGCCATTAACCATGTCACTGGTATATCCGTGCGGTTATTCATTAACAGTTTTCTCTTAAACCCAATTCTACTACTGATAAACCATCTTTGTCTTTTGCACATCACTATTCGAATATTCCTTTAATCCTAAGCTGTATGTCTATCTATACCATCCACTTATATCGGTATCTTACACCCATTATATGTACTGTATGTGTACAGTATACGTACTGTATATCACCATTGTACAGCATACTACTTTACATGTGTTCTATCCTCAATAGCATTGCAAGTAGTCATACTCTGGGTACATGGGCATGGTTATAGTCTAAACACTATTAGAGTTAGAGAATTACAATGACAGTAAGTAATTACAGTGCCTCATCCCTTTACAATGCACAGTGCTAAAACGCCTCTAATTGCATATATCACAAATGAACAATTCAAATTCTAGATTTTAAGCTTTCGTGACTGCAAGGATTCATACTCTTAGTTCTTTCGGTAAAGTCACGTAGGTAAAAAATGAAATAAAAATAAAACAATAAAAATCACGACGTTTCGGAGGCAACACAAGTCTCCTTCATCAGGTCGGACCGTCACAGCCAGATTAGCTGCATCAAGTGAGGGAGGGATTCAAGGTGTAAGCTCTTAAGTACCAGTTAAAGGGAGGAGGGGGGGAGGGGCTTATCAGAATGTTGTAGCCAATGAATGGAAAGTATCGGGAGGGGGGGGGCTAACAGAGGGACGGGGTACTCATGGTCGAGGTCAAGGACGTGTTTGTGCGCAAGTCACTGTGGATGTACATAATAGGAAAGGAAGGAAATGCCCATGTTTATACCAATGTTGGCTGACAATAACCCTGCCAGCCACCTACAGGCCCAACTCAGTCATCACATGCTGCTGTACACACATGCATTGATGCACTGCACATCACATCAGGACTTTCACAGAACCACACTTTACTCCCTTGCTGCACAAAGATATAATTAAAAGAGTGATCTATTCCTAATGTGCCACATTATCTCCACCATCCATCTCACCAAGATACTATTTTTAATTGACCAGTTAAGGCCCACTGAGCTACGTAGCTCTTTTTCAGAAGCGACCTGGCCACAAATAATAGCTCAACGAAGTGGCTTATCACATTTTGGCCAGTGTCCGTCTGATGATGCTCGTTGTAATTACTGGCGAAACGTCGTACTCAGATTCTAAATGTTGTGGATTTGCTCTCCAACACACCGGTGTGCTGTACTAGTAACGAATTGGCATGTTCTGTTTACGTGACAAACTTTACTAATTGGGTGTGTCGGGTAGTGGCGGGTTTAGCGACACGTTTATATTTACGCGATGTAACCCCAAACAGGACCCTGCGGGGTGGGCTGGTAGGAACGAATAACCAAAGAATATAAACATAATGTATTATTAGACTTGTTTAGGCAGGAAAGCCTCATTGAGTCTAAAGGTTTTTGTAGGGTCCTGCCAAGTGTTTGCAGTAGGGGGCGATGTTGCTACACCTAATCGGACGATACGAAGGGAGAGTTTGAGGCCTAGTTCTAGGCTTTAGGCCTAGCTGTAGGCTTTAGGCCGCTGTGAGTTAATTAGTAATTTAAATGTTTTAATTATTAATGTAAAAGCTTTAAATGTAAATGTTTCTATTTAAAAACATCAGGGAATGTAACATTGTTAAACATTAACTCCCTTTCACACACGCGGGGGTACGATACGAAGGGAGAGTTTGAGGCCTAGTTCTAGGCTTTAGGCCTAGCTGTAGGCTTTAGGCTGCTGTAAGTTAATTAGTAATTTAAATGTTTTAATTATTAATGTAAAAGCTTTAAATGTAAATGTTTCTATTTAAAAACATCAGGGAATGTAACATTGTTAAACATTAACTCCCTTTCACACACACGGGGGTACGATACGAAGGGAGAGTTTGAGGCCTAGTTGTAGGCCTTAGGCCTAGCTGTAGGCTTTAGGCCGCTGTGAGTTAATATTTAATTTAAATGTTTTAATTAAAAGCTATCTCAGGGAATTATAAGGGAATGTTACACTTGTTTAGCCAGGAAAAATGTTTTAATTAAAAGCTATCTCAGGGAATTAAAAATGTTTTAATTAAAAGCTATCTCAGGGAATTATAAGGGAATGTTACACTTGTTTAGCCAGGAAAGCATCACTGAGTCTAAAGTTTTTGTAGGGTCCTGCCAAGTGTTTGCAGTAGGGGGCGATATTGCTACACCTAATCAGACGGACGGACGATATAATCTATTGTAGGCTGGTTCACTTCGTTCCTACCAGTAAAACCCTGTATTATAGATCATTGATGGCTGTAGTGTATGTTTATTATAATCTGTACAACATAGAAACGTGCTTACGTGCCAGTATAATAACATTCGGCAGACTTGTTTTAGAAACGTACACAATGTTTACCATTAAGCTATCCATACATTTTGGACGACAAAATGGGTTATGATTGAAAAAATATTCTTTGTTTCCTAAAACAATATTAAGTGTGGATGTAAGCTCAGTATCCTTTGGATATTTTTGCTAAAACAATAGTATACATATTTTTAAGAGCAATATTTATATAACCATTTTGAAAACATATTGCAGCACCACCCCCCCCACCTAGTTTCCTGAGTGACGTCGAGGAAAGGCTAATGTGAATTGATTAGGCTGGGAATGTTGTCAACTCCTGTAATTATTGAAGTTTATTGACAGTAATTGTTAATGTCTTCGTTAAAAACAAATCACCATGCGCCTGAAACAGAGCAATGGTTCCACCTACTGTTCGAAAACAGAATTGTGTAAAAACATGCCAACCACTCTTTTTGCCACGTCTGACATCGACTCCACTAAAATCTCAAAACCACTTTCACACACTCTATAAACAAACTGGCTCTAACAGCCCACGCAGTATTACCATCATTCACATAATTACTATCTAACCGCTGATCAACAATCGCCAACGCATGGGCCACAACGCCGTCGTGTACAGGTCACAGAGGGCCCACAAGCGAGCACGTGCGTTGCCATTTAACATTGGGGCGTGAACAATTGGCCCGCCCTGCGCGCCGTCATGAGACGTTGCACACACGATGGGGGCATGGTGCGGTCCGGCGGGCGGTCTGTTTGCTGCCACCCCCACCTACCCAATTGGCTCCTGCTGCTCTGCTCCTTGTGGCTGCGCCGGGAACTCCCCGCCCTGTTTGTCCTGCTTCTTCCTTGTTTCGTGCCGGTGTTGCAGCTCCACAGAAGCCACAAGAAATGTCTGCGCAGGACGAGACCGGCGAACAGCTCACGGGAGCCCAGCTCGTCGCTGAAGCCCTCTTGGAGCAGGTGACCGCGATGCCATGTAGCAAAAAAGTAACCTATAAATAATGTGTGTTGTTTCTTCTTCCAGTGAGCTATATATAGCAGCCAAATACTCTAAAAGGACCGCGAGAAAACCCCACGCGACCACGGCGAGAGAGACAGCGCAAGTGTCAACTATTCAGCAGGTGTCAGGGTCGAGATCGAACCCACGAACTTCCTGCATACCAGGCGAGGGAGTTAACATCTCACCACCCCGGCGCCACTTGGATGCATTTGAGGCCAGAAGCGTGCTTCCCCTCCATCATATAATGGGGGTCAATGTTCACGTTTCCTAGACTGTGCCATCGCCGGCAGTGCGCAGAGATTAAACGCGTGCTTCGTTAGGAACGTTGTTGTGTTGTTTTTCATGAGTCCAGTTGTCCCAAAAAGGCACTTGGCAAGAGAGGTTGGTGGATCGAACAGAGATCATCTCCGTGCCCTTGCTGTGAGATTGCCAGTGTTTCTTTAAAGCAACGGGACCCAGAGATGGCAGTACATCAAGTGGGCTTGTGTCGAGGCTTTTGAGAGTTATCCCCAATCTTACGTGTGGGTTTAGTCCGGGTATTGTTTTTTTCTCCCACATGCAAAACAAGCGCTTTTAAAACGGTGATTAACCACACATGTCAGTGCAGAACACTGTTGAAAAAGTCTTGTTTGTTAATGCTCGGTGATATAACAGGGACTTTTCTCTTTTCGACCTTGGGCTCGTGCACACACAAGTGCATCTGGGTGAAAGGTCATTTAGCAATGCATTTCACGAAACTAAAGTTGCTTGTTCGTAAATGCATGTGACATCCAATGACTTGCTCACATTCTGTATTCACAATTGTTTTTAAATAATATTCAGTTATGATGAGTTGTTAAAATTTGGGCCTTTGTTGAGAGAACCTTGTTGAGAGAATCTTGAACGAAGTGGCAGGCAGTTGTCCACTTAACAGCAGATGGCGCAATTTGGCAAAAATAAATCCTAATTAAATTCCAAATTACTTACAGATATATTGTAATTCGTCATACATTATTACTGTAATTATAAGAGCAACTTTCACTGCTACTAATACACCATTTGCCAGTGTTCATTGTATCAATATAACCCAACATTGTTGGGTGTGTATTGTTTTAAAACATTGTTCCTGATCCATATGCAGCTCGGCAGTGCTGACAGAATCCTTTCACCCTCTGAAACTGAATAACACGTCGTGGATTGAAGGAGCATTCATCCTTATTTTGAGGTTAACAAAATTTTGAAGTGAACCCACGCTATCAGCACATAATTCTCATGCATTTGGGATTCCTTTTAAACCAAAGTTAGCAAAAGGCAATAATAACAATGCAGTGTACGTCGACATCGTGCTTGTGATGGACTGCCGTGCACTTTGTGTGTGTGTGTGTCGGCTGCAGGGTATTGAGTTCATGTTTGGAGTGGTGGGGGTGCCCATCATAGAAGTGGCAATAGCAGCACAACAAGTCGGCATCAAGTACATCGGCATGCGCAACGAACAGGCGGTGGGTACTGGCCATGGGGATGTTTCACTTGCCATCTGATGCGGTGGCGAAGCCATCGAGGTGTGCAGGCGGTGCAACTGCACTGGAGCCCACGGGCTGGGGGGGGGGGTTAGGCATCAGGCCTGTGGAAACTTTGGACACTGGGGTCCCATTTCATGCCTTGCACCAAGGTCCATGTTCAACCACTGTGTGAATGAGAGGGCATTTAAACATTTATTTTATCACTGGATTACAATATACCACTTAGAACGTGCTGATGATTGCAACGAATATGTTAGTGATACCAGAGGGTCACATGTTAGTTTTCATTCCTCCCGATTCACATGCAAAATGTTAATCTGGTAATGTTATATATAAATCAAGTTACTTCTTCTGCTACCTTTTGAGCATGTGTGTAGTCACTATCTAAATCTCTTGAGTCTGGTATTTTGAAGTTAGCATTAATATGTTTTCTTACATGGTTGTGCGATGCAACAATTAATGTGTGTCCTGCAAGTGAGCTGATTTCATCGTTCCATCTCCTCATTAAATGTTCCGTCCTTTGGCTGCTACACTGTCGTTAGTCTTGAAGCCCGGCCATTATTCTTTATAGCGACATATCCTGCCCACCCACTAACTTTTCTTAACAGTCAAAATTATGTCTTTAACTTGTGTATGTTCACTTAGGGGCCGTCCATAAATGACGTCACGCACCTGGGGGGGGGGGTTCAGACATTTGGGACGATGTGTGACGGGGGTGAGAAGTGTGACGTCACATCAAAATGCGCAACTTTAAATAAATATAGACACAACACGTTCTACTCTATGAAATGGACTTTTTAATAAATGTTTTCTACTTACAACATCAGAGTACAGCGCCACATTAAATACGCACTACAAGGACAATAGTTTAAAGCGATTTGAAGCATGTTTTATTTTGGCGGGGGGGGGGGCAGAGCTTTGTGACGTCATATTTTAGGGGGGTCTGACTTTTTGTGACGCCGTGTGACGAGGGGGGGGGGGGGTCAAAAATCGTCCAAAATCGCGTGACGTCATTTATGGACGGCCCCTTATCCACGTGTTCCCCGTCATGCACGCTTGAAATAGTGTAATTACAAGCATCCACTTCTCCTTGCTACTCTGCGCTCTTTTCAGCTTCGATGAATTTTCTTTGTCCTTCATTCAGCAGTGGATAGACCTTGTCTGATGATAATGTATTTTTATTGAGTGGTGATGATGTCCTGTCCGTGTTGTGCCGTGCAGGCGTGCTACGCAGCTTCCGCTGTTGGGTACCTCACCAGCAGGTGTGTGGGGATTCCGACACTCTCTGGCTGCTGCTGAAGCAGTACTTTTATTTGCTGCTCTGTGTTGCAGTGATCCACGACATATAACCCCCGACTGGTCATGTCACATCTTGACGAGGGCAAATAATGGGTTCATTGAATCATGTTTTTGTTTGTTGCGGTTGCACCCGATTCAAGAGCCGAATGGCTCACAGGGCTACACCTAATAAATGAACTTGAACTTGAAGCGCTTGTACAAAAGTGAACTGTGCTATTTGGCATTGTACTGATAATAAAATAATCAGTATTTTGTAAATGATATGTGACAGTATTTATACGAATAAAAATAACGCAAGATTTTTTTCTCATTATACTTCAGAAATTGAGATTTGAATCAATTGATGAATAATTTTAGAACATATGGGATAATCTTCTGTTGATCACATCAATGCTGTTGAATAACAACATTATTTTCCAGCAAATAAAAAAAAGATTACTATACACATATGAATGGTCCTAATAATGGCCATCGTTCAGTATCTGGCTTTTCTGGCCAAGTGGAACTTGCAGAGTGCTCCACTCACAATTTGGAGCTTGTAAATTCATATTCTGGTTTTGGGTCGTAAAATAGTACCACTTTGTGAAAAGTCAATTAAGAGGACTGGCCCTCACCACACCATGGAAATGCAGAATTTTAACCACTGGCTCGTAGCCGCAAAACAGATGCGAGCGGCCCTCCATATTTCTTTGAATATGGAGAGATTTCACTTTGATCAGCGATAATCCTTGAATTTTGTTGGATTTTCCAAAACGTTGATGCTGACCTGTGGCTGTGTGGTGCCACGTGTGATCGTGCGGTGTGGCGCAGGCCCGGCGTCTGCCTTGTCGTCTCGGGCCCGGGTCTCATCCACGCCCTGGGCGGAATGGCCAACGCTAACGTCAACTGCTGGTGAGCGGCAGACCTTGATGCGTGGCCACGCATCCTCTTGCTCGCATGCCACCGGGGCTGCATAGAGGGAGAGAGAGAGGGTGTGGCAGCTGGGGCAGTTACCAACTCGCCTTCGCGGCGCCCCTACGATGGCGAGATGTTAACTGCCCCACCTGGTATACAGGAGGTTCATCTTCTTGGTTCTTTCGGTAAAGTCACGTAGAAGGGAAATAATAAAATAATAAAAATAAAACATAATAAAATACATTTTTTTTTTCTCTTTTTATTTTATTATTTCCCTTCTACGTGACTTTACCGAAAGAACCAAGAAGATGAATCCCTGCAGTCACGAAAGCTTTAAATCGAAAAATACAGGAGGTTGTCGGTTCAATCCTGACCCTGATGCCTGTGTATTTGGAGTTTTCATGTTCTCCTCGTGGTCACGTGGATTTTTCTCCGGGTCCTCCAGTTTTTCCCTCCGCATTTATAAACACGTGTTTAGAGTAATTGGCTTCTAGCAATTTTCACATGCTAAGCTTGAGCTATCATTTGCGGCCATGTTGCTTATGAAAAAGAGCTATATCGCTCAGTGGGCCTTACATGGTAAAATAAGTAATATTTAAAAAAACTTTTTTTTTAAACACGCTGTAATGAAATGTACCGTACGAGTAATGGAAGAACTCCACGACTCCAGGAAGTGGCCCCGAGGCTTTGCATAATGTAAGGGACCGTGGGGATTTACAGCCAACGTGAGTTGAGCGTGGACAATTAGACCCAAGGCGAAACATAACTTATAAAAAAGATAGTTTAAATTTTATACTTTTAATAATAGACTGTAGTATTGTCATCAGTATGACATAAGTATAGCAAGTTTGCAGTCGATACCATATTGGGAAGTGGGTTAAAATTGAGTTACAAGATTTGAGGATACGACAACAACAACAGAGTGAGTTAAATAAAAGCACGAAATACAGTTTTAGTTTCTGATAAAAACAGAGCCCTAGGGGGCCTCAGGGGGAGCCTCATTTGGAATTTTGGTTTGAGCTTCCAAAAATCTTTCGGCAGCCCTGCACACCACCAGTGGTGGTACAGGGGAGTGGTGTGTTGAGAGCAGCTCAAGTGTCGAGTTACTAAAGCCTCAATAGATGAGCAAGTAGCATGAGTCAACATTAGCTGCTAATGCATAGGTATGCCGTGGGCCATCATCATCACAGTTTGTAATCCATTGAAAATGTCTTTGATTGTAATGTACTTTCATGAGGGTATCTAGATATTCTTATCAAAGGTGTTTTTTATGGGTGATCTTCATTTATTATGAATGCATGAACAACACAATATAGTCTGTATAACACTGGTCAACAAACAAAATTTTTTTTCTGGCCTGGACTTTTGCAGCTGTTTTAGACTAATTTCAGGGTGCTGATTCCAAATCTGATCTCAGATTTGCTCTATCACATCTCATTTTTATGCTATCTGCATACCCCATTTTCATTGATTTTACCCGAAATTAACTCTGTCCCTTATGATTGCAAGTTGTTGCGAGTCAGTCACTGCTTTAGTGTTAAAATATGGTGCTGTATTTTTAGGATAGTGTGTTTATAATATCATTTTATGTATATATCCACGTTTATTTAATATTTATCTTCTGCAGTTTTTATTGAAAATGCAATATTTGATATCTCAAAAACCTGATGTGATAGACAAAAACTGATGCCAGATTTTGAATCAGCAACCCAAAATTACTTTAAAACCGTTGGAATACCTTATGCCAGAAAAAGTGTGTTGACCAGTGTTATAATTCGAATCATTTGTCCGTTTTACCCAGGCCTGTTCTGGTGTTGGGTGGCTCCAGTGACCAAGACCAGGAGACCATGGGGGCATTTCAGGAGTTCCCACAGGTCAGGGCATCCTCCTGGTCATCAGTGTTGATTGCTGCCGGCACCTACTGACAAAGACACACTTGTATTGCCATCTGTTTACACATGAACGCTGGTAAATAAAGGCCAATTGGCACACATGGTTGTAACAAAAAAAATTGGGCCCCGCATCGTTTGTGCACGGCTCCTTCCAATAACGCCAATGTATCGGAGCAGCATTATTGCACTCAGTCAGACTTTGGTGTGGGAACTCAGTGAAGTGAGAACTTGTTCAAGGTAAAAATAAAATAATGTAATTGGGAAACTTTAATCAGGATAAATGCCCATATGCCAATGGCTTCAATGTAATTTGTGTTCAAAGTTTTAATAAAGTCCCTTTACTACTTTGTTTAACAATGCTTACAGAAGTTAAGAGCTTTCTATTGGTTTTAGTCTTACAAAGGAAGACTAATTAACTGCACCGACTGTCGGCAGTGATGCTTCTGTCTTAATCGTTTGTGTCCATTTTTCAGTGATGCTAAGGATTTGGACAGGGAGACAAACACAACCACTATAGCATCCCCAGAGCCTAATTAGACGGTTGGTTTTTTTTCACCTGGTAAATACCTTTTAGCAAATGTGGCAGTATTCAGACAAGTCTTTCTCAGATGTTCACAGTAGTCTCACTTATATATTGTACATATGTAAAGATCAGTTAACATAATCCTTGTGCATCCCCCGTTGCTGGTTTCTGCCGACAGGTGGAGTCATGCCGCTTGTACAGCAAGTTCTCAGCCAGGCCCAGCAGCCTGCAGAGCATCCCAGGCATCGTGGAGAAGGTGTGTATTATCAGCACCCGGTTTCTACCCGGCACACCGGTAAAAATATGCATTTAAAGTATTTGGCAGCTATACATTTTGACGTGATAAGCCACTTCGTTGAGCTATCATTTGTGGTCAAGTCACTTCTGAAAAAGAAGCTAATAGCTCAGTGGACTTTGCCTGGTAATATTAAACAGTTTCGTTATATTTGTATATATATATATGTTTTTATGATTTTCTTACCTTTCCTATACTTTGCACTCCAATCAGTTTTTGTATTCATATTCTTAGGTTTTTTCGGTAAAGTCACGTAGGTAAAACATCAAAATTAATAAAAATAAAATAAAATAAAGATCACGACGTTTCGGAGGCAAACGTCGTGATCTTTATTTTATTTTATTTTTATTAATTTTGATGTTTTACCTACGTGACTTTATCGAAAAAACCTAAGAATATGAATCATTGCAGTCACGAAAGCTTCAAATCTAGAATTAGTTTTTGTATTGTTTATTGTTGTAACGTTCTGACCTGCCGCAACTGGACATCTGTGAAAGAGAGCTTTATAGTTCATTAGATTCTTCCAGTATAAATAAATATTCTGATTTTGAAGTGTTAACAAAGCCCCTCATCCATCTCTCTTGTGCTATTCCCACATAGACATCGCAAACTCAATACCATACATTGTGGACACAACAGCTATCTTCAGTCATGTAGCCATTGACCTACAAGTGTGTAGGGAATGCAGTTACATCTATATGCTATTTAAATATATTGTATATTGAGGTACAAAGAGGACTGTCAAGTCTCAGGGACACATGCATGTAGGCCTTATCACAGACTCGCACACACACAACTCACGCATTAATGCCCCTTCACATCTCGCACCCCCTTTCAGCTCACACGGATATATACAAAGACAAAAACTAAAGATTCCCCATTTAGCCTTAACAGACTGTTGGGGCAAGTGCTGTTAGCGAGCACCTATGAAGGCCGGAACGGTACACGAGGGCGTGGGTGGCCAGCACCACGCTCGGCCGCCTTTGTCTCCCCAATGGCGATATTTGCACCGCACCAGGTACTCATTTGAGATTGAGTCGACCCAGGGGAGGCCTGGAACCAGTTCAGAAAATCGTCATAAGTGGGAATTGAACTCGAGTCGCCGGGTTCGTAGCGCAGCGTACTAAGCGCTACACTACCGCTTCCCCCCACATATACATATATATACAAAGATACAAAGATCCCCCGTATAGCCTTAACAGACTGTAGGGGCAAGTGCTGTTAGCGAGCACCTATGAAGGCCGGAACGATACACGAGGGGGTGGGTGGCCAGCACCACGCCCGACCGCCTTTGTCTCCTCAGTGGCCATGTTTACAAACCGCACCAGATACTCATTTTAGGCTGAGTCGGCCTAAGGGAGGCCCAGGACCGGTTCACATCATCATCACTGGTGTTGGCCGTGAGCGGGAATCGAAATCGAACCCGGGTCGCCAGGTTCATAGCGCAGCGCGCTAACCGCTACACTACCGCTCCCCACATACATACATATACACACACACACACAATTCTCACACATTGACTGAAGCTCACAGAGAGCGTGCCGGCTGTAAATATATCCCCAGTGACCACCTCCGAACAGCAGCGCCTGCCAGTGCACGACGACATTGGTGTCGCCACTCACGCCGGTGTCCTTATCCCAGGCAGTGAGAACGAGCATTTACGGCCGCCCGGGTGCGTGTTACATCGACATCCCCGGAAACATGGTTAACGCCACCATCGGCAGGGAGTCTGTGAAGTGAGCCTGCCTACGCTACACACACACACCCAAGCAGTGGTGCACGCAGGTAAAGATTTGGAAGGGGGAAAAAATAATTATTTAGTAAAAGCAAGTAGGTTTCTCATCATGTAAAGTGTCATTGTTATCATATTAGGCTCATGATATATCTCCGGGCACTTTGGTTTCTTCCTAAGTGAGAATAGTTGGACAATACATAAATAAAGAAATAAAGATAATACTCACGATATTAGGTGTTTGGAATAGTGTCTGGCGTATGACTTAATTTCAAAGCAAGGTGTGTCATAGCTGACATACTCTACAGTGTAAAACAAATACTTGTCAAGCATCTTAAAGCGTTCACGATGCAGTATAATTGCTTTCACTATACGGAAGCGCGTGGTAATTTGTGTGTGTGTGTGTGTTGGTGTAACTGTAGGTTTCTTCCTCGCTGCCTGCCACCTCCTGTCTCCATGGCTGACCCACAGTCAGTCGCAGCAGCTGCTGCCATGCTCAGGAATGCCAAGCGGCCCCTTGTGATCGTGGGCAAGGGTGGGCCCTGAGCACAGAAACACACTTTTACATACAGAGTCAACTCTCCATTGTTCACGGTAATGTGGCTCGGATATTTAGTGTTCACCTGCGCGGAATGGGCGTGAAGACGTTGAACGTGTCATCGTTTTTTGTCTGTGATTTTTGTCAATCGGCGGTCGTCGGTGCTTCATTAAAGAAAGTATGATAGCAACATCGGCTGCGTGGATCTGTGATCACCAGTGCTAAATTTATTCAAGAAAGAGTGCAGCGGGGGCCTTGTGGATTAAGGCTTACATGTGCGGTAATGTCGGCCACGTGTTCGTGGTCACGATGAGTGAGGGGCAGCTAATAATTGAACCAAAGTGGCCATGAAGATGTCACATTTCACAGTGAATCTGCAAGTCTATAATCCACCTACAGATAAACGAGAATTAACCGTGTTCGCCGTATGAAGCAGTGGCTGCACTGTGCGTCTTTTCAAGTAGAACACAATACACAGACCAAGCAGTCCGCACGGTGCCTATTGTGATGGAGTCACGGAGCTGGGGTGCGAGTAACATGCGAGCTTGTCTGGCTACCTCCGCAGGTGCCGGTTACGCGCGGGCCGAGCACAGCGTGCGGCGTCTGGTGGACGATTTTGCACTGCCATTCCTGCCGACCCCCATGGGCAAGGGCGTCTTGCCGGACGACCACCCACGCTGTGTCGCAGCCGCCCGCTCCAGGTGCAGGGCGACCCCTTATGCTGCGCAGAACACCTTCCGGTCGCCATTCCCCTGGACGAGTCCACTCCCAACTCCTAGAGGGCTAAAGCTTGCCAGTGACCTCGGATGAGGTGGACGTTCCTTACCGGCATGGTCGAGACCTTGCTCGCCCCTGTCAATCTTGTACTCTCCAAATCGCTTCTTTTGTTGTTTTTATTGGTGAGTGACATTGATCGGTGGTCATCAGTGCTTCCCGCACCGCCGATTAGCACGGTTGGCTACATACGGTGCGAAAGAAGTTAAACTTACTGATTTTTCGTCGATCGGAGGTCATCAGGGCTTCATTAAAGAATGTAAGGCAGCAACGTAGCCTGCATCGAGCTGTGATCGGCAGTGCTAAATTTATGAATGAAAGAGAACAGCGTGGGCCTTGTGGATCTTGGGCTTGCGTGTGCGGTAACGTTGGCGCTGTGTTGCTTGCAGGGCGCTGCAGCATGCGGACGTGGTGCTGCTGCTGGGCGCTCGCCTCAACTGGATGTTGCACTTTGGGCTACCTCCTCGCTTCCGGCACGACGTCAAGATCATCCAGGTGGCCGTGACTCAAATACTCGTGCTGCATGCACTGCGGGACGATCTCTCCGCAAAGCTGTGAACTTAAAATGCTTTCACCGGTTTAGTGCACATGTACATTAAACAGCTTTAACAAGGTTTAATGTTGACTTAAAGCTTACGTGACTGCAGGAATTCATAAGGCAAATCTGAAACACGGTAGGACCAATACCTCAGCCGTGGCTGATCATTGTTTTAAAGCTGTGGGCACATGGAAATGATTTTGCCAAGACGAGGGTATCAGCAAAGATTCGTTCATGAAGCCATCTAGATATATAAACACAGACACAATTTCAACCGAGAAGATGGGTACAAACTGAGCAATCATTGGAAGGACGTTATTAACAAGTTTAGGTCATAACTGGCTGTGATGTTCTCTCCCTACCTACCTATGTTATCAGTTATTTTCGACTCTCTGAGTTACATTCACTAACACAGCCACCGTTAGCTGTATTAGTAAATGGCGGCTTGCATCCTTTTCCACCTCCATGTGACGATGGCTCTTTCCGAGCTCTCTCCAAAATTACATTTACAAGCACATTTCTTACATTGACATGCTAATCTCTCACGATACAATGACCACCCCCACAGCTTCGTTTGTCAAGATTTCTCTGATCTTACATTTACATACTCTCTGGTTCTTTCGGTAAAGTTACATAGTTTGAAAAATAATAAAGAACACGACGTTTCGGTCTCAACACAAGAGTCCGTCATCAGGTGATAAAGAATGATCTGCTGTTGTGGTTTTAATAAGGCTGCTCCGATTTGAAACTAATTCAAGCTCATTAACATGCTAATTTCTCCAGCCCCCACCCATCCCTGCACACCACAAACCCTCCCCCCTCTCCCCCCCATGAACTCCTGCATGTAGAAGCATGGTCTGCTGCCGAGGAAGACTGTTTTTGTCTTGCCCGAAATGTCGTGATTGATTTTATTTTATACCTACGTGACTTTACCGAAAGAACCAAAGAGTATGGCTTCTTAATATCGCATGGAAGAGCGTTCCAGACGGCCGCAGAAGCGCTTTTGAAAGTGCGCGATGCGGTGACCGTCTTTGCTCCATGGTTTGCCAAAATCCGCTGCTATGAGGATGACCGGAGTTGGCGTGATGGTTCATGATCATTTTATCGGCTATGTTGACCAAGAAATGTGGCCTTTGCTTCCGCAGGTGGACGTGTGTGCCGAGGAGCTGGGCAACAACGTGAAGCCCAGCAGCCCTCTGCTGGGAGATGTCACAGCGGTCACCATGCAGGTCAGTACTCGCTGCAGGGACAGCGAAAGAGAATAATTGTCACCTCCCTGTCAGAAACACAAGCAGATTATCTCTTGCGCATGCATAGGTGCTGGGTGAAAATCTTGTTTCCGTGGCTGTCTTTTTTTGTTTTATTTATATAAAAATGAAATTATTTTAAATGGGGAAGGTCACTTCCAAAAACAAGAGAGCGCACCACAACCAGAGTACATGGTAGACAGACAAGCCTCAGCGCACAGGTTCACCGATTGCATCGGTCTACCACTTGCTGTGCCATTGCACTCTCCCATTTGTGGATATTAATGGCCAAATAGATGAAATTGGATGGGTTTGCCAATTGCATCAGTCTACTGTGTACCCCGATAGTGGTGATCTTGTATACTCTCACTGAGTCTGGCTTTCGAGAGGTTTTGTTGTATAGACTGTGTTTGAAATTAAGCTGGTTGGATAGGGACTATTCCGTGTTCGCCCTAGCCACCCGCCGGCTATGTGGACATGTCATAACTTAACAGGATATAAACCACAAGGCGTGCCCAGCACAGCCTTCGTGAGATGTGAGAGTGTTTGTGCGTAGCCATTGTCTTGTTTTACAGATTATCGACCAACTGGGAAGCAATAGATGGACCTTCCCGGCGGACTCAGAGTGGTGGACATTCCTAAAGGAGAAAATAGACGCTAATTCTAGGATATCAAAGGTACTTGCACATGATCACGTATGGCGGCAGGGCTCGCTGCAATGCGACGCACTCTAATCGTAACAATTTGTGAAGCAAAATACGGTTGTGATAAGCCAAATACGGTTGTGATTCCTAGAATCACAAGTTGTTGGGTTGGGGAAGGGTGGGGAAGGTGAAGAGGTGTTAATTATTCGATGTCTACCGAGGCAGGCCATAACTAGGTATGGTGGCAATCACACATGGTGGATAGATCACCCATATGTACTGCATAGCCAGGAATATGACAGTGCAGTAATGCATTCTTTAATCTATCTGTGTGGAGTTTTAACTGTTACCCCCCCCCCCCCCCTTCACATGCACAGTGGGTGTTCTCTATGTTATCTGGCTTGCACTTGAAGCCATACATTTGTAATAACGACTGGACACACTTCTCTTGCGCAACTCCCTTATATCTCAACATGAGGCCACGCCCCCCCTTCTCGATCATTCTCGCTGACTTTGGATGCTCGCTCTACCGGCAGACTCTACCATCCTCTTCTGTCACCTGACCACGCTCCCTTCTCGAACATTCCCATAGCCACCAGTCCTTTCACACTCACAATTGATACCCCTGTCATTACCTCCCGTGGCCACAAGTGTATTCGTACTGTAAGCCGACTTCTGTGTCATTACCTCCCGTGGCCACTAGTCCCCTCACACCGCATGCAGGCTTTATTGTCATTACACATTGATAGAATTGGTCAAACATTCCAATAAAAAGAGCCTTGAGACTCATTGAAGTTATCCCATTTTATATGGACATACGTTGGTGTTTTCCGGCTTCCTCCTACCTAAAGCAAAACACTCAGGAATGGAAGTGGTCAAACATTCTAATATGGCAAGCACCTTCTGAAATTAGAGTCTGCCCGTATGAACGGGCACACAAGCAGGAGAGGTGATTTTGTTGTCCTTCCCCTGCACCTCCAATTAGCACAGTTGGCTACGTACAGTGCGAAATAAGCTCAACATACATACGTGTTGTGCCTCCACTGTGGCCCAGGCGATGGTGTCCGACCAGACGCTGCCCATGAATTACTACACGGTGTTCCACCACGTGGCGGAGCTGCTGCCCCGAGATGCCATCGTGGTGAGCGAGGGCGCCAACACCATGGACATCGGTCGCACCATGCTGAACAACACCCTGCCCCGCCACAGGTGCGCCCCGCCACAGGTGCGCCATGCCACTGGCCCACGCCCGCCCCACAGCGGAGGAGACTGCCCGCACTTGAGCCTCTCTTTCGGTGACTTCCCCGTGTCACGTCGTGCTACCCACATTTGCCCTTATGCTAACATGTGTATCCTTGTGCTTAACTAATGAACGTGTACCTCCGATTGGCACGGTTGGCTACATACGGTGCGAAAGGAGTTCAACATGCGTACGTACGTGTACGGGGATCCAAGTGTGGCCTTCCAGGTGAGGCCGTGAAGATGCCGCCAGTAGTGCGTGGTGAAAGCTGGAGAGAACAAGTGCTCTCAACAGGCAGCATGACCTGGAAGACCACACTTGGATTATGAGTGGCAGTGAAGACCTGCATGCGAAACATTTCACCAAGACTATTTCTCAAACATTTCAAACGTGTAGGCTTCTGTTTCTGAAAAATACTTTTGAAGTGAGAAAGTCCGCATCCTGTGTGCCTCTTAGTTGGCCAGTGCTGGCGCAGCACTGTAGAGACAAGGGTTGTTGGATCGCACAAATGTTGGGACCTGCCTTCCCATGGCCGTCTAGGTGCAATACCCTGCATTTCCTGGAGATAGCGCTACAGCAACATGTCGACTAAAAAAGTTTTATCTGTATGGGATACTGTTGCCACCTCGTACACGTGGGGTTTTTTTCCAGGTGCTTCGGTTTCCTCCCACTTAATGAATAGGCTGAGGACACCTTAATTTATTGAGGATCACAGACTACAGAGCATGGGGTGAAATTTGGTGCCAGCTCACTGCCTGGCTGTTGCCCCTCTCACTTGTCTATGGTCCCTCACGCCTCCGAGTTGCTCTCTCTCTTATCGAGAGTTGAGCGAATATCATACACGTCGAAAGTTGACACTAGCATTTATATTATCTGCACGGGAAGGATGAGGGTACTAGCCTGCTCAGCTGTCGCGGCTGATGTGATGCGTGCGCAGGCTGGACGCAGGGACGTTCGGCACGATGGGAGTCGGCCTGGGATATGCCATCGCTGCGGCGATGGTTGTCAAGCAGCAGGATCCGCCCCCTAAGGTGGTGTGTGTAGAGGGAGACAGTGCGTTTGGATTCTCTGGCATGGAAGTTGAGACCATGGTCAGGTAAGGTGTAAGGGCGGTCGGGGCTTTCTTGCACAGGACGTAGTCTAAATTATAATTGATGAATGCTGAATTTAATTTTCATTGTTGGTGTTAGGGTCTCATTAAAGGCCCACGTGTTGCTATGCCAGAGTGTTCTATTCCTAATGAGAAGTTTGTAAGTTTCAATTCTGATCGGGCTCAATGAAGCCCATCGCCATCCCTCTGGAGTCAATTAAATGAATACCATTTGTTATTTTTAATTTTCTGGACCTTCATTTGATTTTTAAATCCAGTGAGCCTGGTTCACATCCAGAGAGCTGTCTGGGATGAAATCAGGTTCTGAAATGCTCCACAAATAAACATATTCATACTACATTTGTTTCTGGACTTGATTTGGAAAAAATCCAACTGTGAACATTTTTAATCTTGATTTTACACGTGTGACGAATATTACTCAGTGGCAAAGCATGCTGCAAAGTGCTGCCCCTATTTGTGTGGAACAGGTCACTTGAAGCATTCTCAGAGGTAGCTGAATGATGTTCCCTTTTTTTGGGCCATTCTCCAACATGAATTTATGCACCGCTCTGCGAAACATCCGAACATGTACTTCATCTCATGATGTGACACCGATAGGACAAGTGGGCTAAAAGTAGGGGTAATTTTGTTTTTATATATACACAGTAAGCCAATAAAGAAATCGTGAGTCCGATGAGGATAGGCTGCCTCTCCGTGCTCGCTGTAGGTACAAGCTGCCGGTGGTGGTGCTGGTCGTAAACAACAACGGTATCTACGCGGGGCTGGACGAAGATACCTGGGCCCTGCTGTCCCAGGCCGGTGACGCCGCCTCCGTGTAAGTACCAGGGAGGCCTCACCCCTGTCAGCCTCTGTGTGGCCAGATGGAGTATTGCCAAGGACACACTTATGTGTGTGGCAACTGTGAGCGATGCTGAGGACACACTTAACACCATGCGAAGGGAGGTGGCTGGGTAATTAGCAGGAATAATACCGTACTAGAGCACTGAGCCTGCACAACTGAAATCATAGTTTTGATTGTGTGTTTTGGTCAACTGATTAATATGGGTTGTATTAAGCAGAGTTGACTTGCAGGAAAACACCATGTTCTCTTGACTCCATTACATGGTAATTTACTATGATTTTACATGTGCCAAGCTATTATCAACCATTCATGATTGCTTACTGGGAGATTGAGGATGCACACGTTGCGATGTGAAATTGTTCACTGCTCATCGCCACCCTTCTGGCTCTGCAGCATCCCTCCCACATCGCTACTGCCTGGAGCGCGCTATGAGCAGATGATGTCGGCTTTTGGAGGCCGTGGGTTTCTGGCTCGCACCCCCAAAGAGCTCAGGGAGGCTCTTCAAGTGAGCCTAGCTGAGCCCTCTCTCCCTTGCCTCATCAACGTGCTCATCAGTCCATCGGCCGACCGCAAGAATCAGGTTTGTGGCTGGGCTGAGGTGGGCTATTTGCATCAGTAGCGTAGCATGGTTGGTATGAGCCCTGGTCCAAGGAATGAAGTGGAGGCCCCCTGTATGCCTTTCCCCCCTATTTTATTACACGCTTTTATTTAACTCACTCTGTCTGTTGTTGTCGTTGTCGTATCTTCAAATCTTGTAACTAAATTTTAACCCACTTCCCAATGTGGTATCGACTGCAAACTTGGTATGCTTATGCCATACTGATGACAATACCATATTCTATAAAAAAAATATAAAAAAACGTATTTGTAAATATTCATTTTTATATGTTATGTTTCGGCTTGGGTCTAATTGTCCACGCTCAACTCGCGTTGGCTGTAAATCACCACGGTCCCTTACGTTATGGCAAGCTTTGCAGCCACTTCCTGGAGTCGTGGAGTTCTGCCATTATGAGTAGTGTACATATTATTAAAGCGTGTTTAAAAAAAGAAGGATTTTTGAATAATACTTATTTAACCTGGCATCTGACCCCTCCGGCCCATGGGCCCCGGTGGATTTACATTTACTGCACATTAAATAGCTCCGGCACTGGTTCACATTTTATAATTAATTATGTGCGAGGGGTATTCAGAAAGTGTGACCTCCGATTAGCACGGTTGGCTACATAGAGTGTGAAAGAAGTTCAACATACATGAGTCTTAAGGGTTAGAGTCATACAAAACTCGTTTAGGGTGGTTTAGATGCATGGTCTTTAGTTTATTGTATTGTAGTGTAAATCCGTTTTATTTATATTTTAACAGCCTGTCTTCAGAAAGTCAATTACCGCCAGCTGAGTGACCACCAGAGATACATACATTTCAATGTTCACATATCTAAACGCAACTGCATGCCCACATAACAATCACATTTTTTGTAAAATAAACAGTAAGTGGATGAAGGACAGAGCATTGTAAACAAAAACATGTGTTTCAACTTATTAAGGTAGGACAAACTATGTTTTAACGATGTAGCATTGGTCAAAAGCAGTGTTCTCCACTAATTTTCAGAGGGGGGGGGCCACTTTCGCCGATAAGACGTCATCAGTGTGAGGGCCGCCACACATTTGAAACCATTTGGGTATGATGGTGATGGGGTGTGTTTTGACTTTTGTGTATTCTCGTGAGCTGCCGTCAGGGGCCGGACTCTAAATGCAACTAGGGACCGCCAGTGACCCGCGGGCCTTGCAATGAAGAACACTGGTCTAAAGTATTTGATTCTGCAAGTCTAATATGGGGTACATTCACGGATGCCTCTGACCCTGTCTTTCAGGAATTCTCTTGGCTGACTCGATCAAACTTATGAGGGAGCTGCCCATTCCGTGGCTCTGCTTTTGCCTTTGCAAGGGGCATCTGGGGCCAATAGCCGCTCTGTAGGGCAAAAGCCCAGGAAGACGGAGCCACGTTTCTTCAATTACTTGCCTCAAGAATGTATCCAGGGAGAAAAAAACCTTTCAATATTCAGTGTGAAATGTAGATATATTGTGATGCAATCGTTAAAATTCTATCGATACAATATATTTGTGAAATTATTCTCCTGAAAATCTCTGATTAAAACAGATTTATTTTGTCGTAAATTTTACAATAAAAACAATGCAATTCATCAACCCTGTGTTTCTCATTTATCGTCATGGTGTTTCATGAAAATTAAATTGTGCCTGTTGATAATTGTTTATTATATTTTGAAAGACGTGCATTTATGGATTCTTCAACGCCGTCCACATTTGCACAATGTGCTGCAGATGTAAGGAAAATCACACAAGTAATTCCAAATCAAGATGAGTCACTCTCTTTAGACATCTATAAAAAAAAATCCCCTACGATATTCACACTGGTTTTTTTCCGTAACGTGTGTAGAAATGTGAAAATATAAAGCGAAAATAATCAGCGCGTATTGTAACCTGTTTCCAATTTACAGGTAATGTTTAGTAAAACACTTAGGCTTTCGCGATAAATATACATAAGGGTTTTTCATCATTAGGATCATTCGCCATCCCCGCGGCATGACTAGGAACTCTTAGCTATTGGAGTGTGAAATTCCGGTGAGTGTGGACCAAAGCCACCCAGATACCGGCCTCCGAATTGGGGGGGGGGGGTGGAGAATTGAACAGGATTGACCCATTGTATTGCAACAGGGCCAATGCCCACCGTGCTACGCCACTGGGATTAAATGAACGTTGCCTGTACACATGGCCGGTATGGGGATAGAGAGGGGGTGGCACCAGACAGGGTGTAAGTGTGACTGACCCAATAACAACCCCGTGCGCACGCGGAGCAGTGGGTCATTTCCGTGCTTCGCCCTCGGGGTGGCCCCAGGTTAAACGAACCCCAGATGCACAGGGGGCTGGGCAGGGTCTGCGCCTCTCTTCCCCCCCTCGTTAATAATTGCGTCGCTGTACACAGCGCGAATACTCAGTGGCTCTGCGTGCTTGGAGAAGACGGCGCCAGCCAGCAGCACGCAGCCCCACGTACGTGCACAGCCGGTTCCAGCCCGTTGCTTGCCGACTCTTAATAGAGCTCGAGTCTTGTGCGTAAAACTCACCCCGCGGGAGAGCGCACGGTGCACCATCCACTGACGATGCGCTCCACTGGTGCGCGTCCACCCGGACCCTCACTCCGCCTTGTGTCCACCACTGCCATCCGCTGCTACTTCTGCTGGCTCTGTTGTTTCGTCTCCACGGGGCTCGCGGCTAAGAGGGAACACGCGGATCCCGACCGCCTCGATGCGCGGACTCCTTCGCTCCCCGCGTTGGGGAGCGGCGCGCCCGAGCGCACGCAGCAGCTGGCGCTGGAGGAGCTGCTGGAGCGGCTGCTGCCCGGCCGGGCCTCCGAGATGATGCTGCTGGTGAACTCCTCTATGGTAGCCCGGGGTCACGGCGAGGGATCCCGGGACGTGTTCCGCCTGGAGAGCCTGCCCGACGGGCGGCTGCTGGTGGTGGGAAGCAGCGCCGTGGCTGGCGCGTACGGGCTCCACCACTACCTGAAGGAATACTGTGGGTGCCACCTGGGATGGGCCGGGCGCCAGCTGAAGGTGCCTCGACCGCTACCCCGGGTTGGGGGAGCCGTGCACGTGGTGTCCCCCAACAGGTACGCGCACGGGCCATTGTCCAGAACGTGACCATTGTTTTTGGTTCCTATTAGGTTTGGCCAGGGCTTCACTTCAGCCAGGTCTATTGGGAGAGGGGGTGGGCACATGAACATCTTTCCACACCCGATAGATTACACCAAGTATACCTCTTGCTCTGGTTGTGGCTGATGTGTCTAACTCCAGTCTCTCAGTGACCGGGAAAATATATAGTAATAAATTAAACCCCTGGTATAGGGAAATGGGACCATCCCGGGCAGCCGATATCGTCACCATAATTGTACAACTTCTTCTTCTTGGTTCTTTCGGTAAAGTCACGTAGAAGGGAAGTAATAAAATAATAAAAATAAAACAATAAAATAATTCTCACGACGTTTCGGCCACAACGCAAGCAGCCGTCCTCAGGTGAAAACCAGGACGGCTGCATGCGTTGTGGCCAAAACGTCGTGAGAATTATTTTATTGTGTTTTATTTTTATTATTTTATTACTTCCCTTCTACGTGACTTTACCGAAAGAACCAAGAAGATGAATCCCTGCAGTCACGAAAGCTTTAAATCGAAATGTACGACTTCTACAACTATTGTTTTTAAAGATGGTGGATTGCTCGCCATTCACCATAATAAGGTAGCAAGAGACAGAGCAATTACAAAAAAAATTCTAAAAATTCCCAAAAGTCAGTTGTTTTTTTATTAAGAAGACGTGACCTGACCTGGAGAGCAGAACAACAGATCGGTGACTACTTGGCTATTGTCGTCTGCGAGTCACCACATGATGGACATTGAGCAAATACCAGAGTGCTCAACGGTGCATGTTTGGACAAAGCGAGGAGAGAGAAAGCGGGAATTTCACACCATACATCATCGACCAATTGCGGATTCAATAATTTGGTCATAAATGTGAGTTGCGTTTTCCAGTGGCATTTCTTTCGCGTTAAAATTTTTTGACCGATTGCTGACTGTGTAGATGGTTAAGAGATTAAACAAGATTACCCAGTTTCCATGTACAGCAAATTCGAGTCAACTTGAGTTGGCCTTCAAATTAAGTTGATGGACAAATGTATTTGGTTAAAAATAAGAGTGTATATTCCGTGATTTTCCGACCTATTTCAGTTATCATGCGAGTCGGGCAGGTCTTTGCCAGACATACTTGCAAAGAAGACCCTTCCAGAACAACCTGCGTGTCATAGGTCAAGACCGATTTGCTGACAAATTGATTGTTACACGTTATTAGTAATATACCTACCACCCACAACATTTTGGATTCTCCATGTTCGGTGATTAATTCAGGCAAGCCTTTGAAGACAGGACGGCTCGGATAATGCAGGCTCCAGCCTGAAATGGCAGACGACTCAAGCTGACGAAATAATACTTAGAGAGTGTGCTGGTGGAATAACTCGAGTGCATCCACAAATTATGTAGCTCGTGAAAAGGAGGCAGACGAAGCCGGATGAAACTGGAGACACCTTAAGCTGAAAAACACGTGGTTTGAGAAAGGCATTGAAATAAATTATAACCACGCAACAGCCACGTGAATTCCGTTACCAAACGTAAGTTTAAAAAACGCTGGACTTTATCATTCACGTTATAATATTTTGATACGAGACTTCTAAACATGATTTTGTGATATCACACGTGAAGGGCATGGGCAAATATTAATGCAAGCCACAGCTGGGTCCCATAAGACTCCAACGGAGGGACGGAGGAATGACCATCAACAGCAGCATGTGCTTCTTATGCATTGCTCTACAGCAGCAGGAGTCGGTTAATGGGAAGCAGATGTGTGTGGTGAGCAGGGTTGTGCCTCCAGGTCGGTGGGTACGTGGAGCTTGGGAACCATTGGGCAGCCCACACGCCAGTCTCACACGGACGAAATAACAACTCCAGCTCAGTGTGTAGAGCGTGGTGCCCGTCGTCCCACATTCCTCCCAAATGGTGCACTGTTGTGGACAATGTGTATGTTCCTAAACAGCGGAACAGATCAATGCATAGCACGTACAATGCTCGTCAGTGCGGGATGGAGAATGTGGGGGCGGGGGCATTTGTGGCGGTGAAGCGGCCCAGCGGGAAGCCCGCTCGTTGCATAGGTTCACGGTTCGAGTCCATCGCCGCCCTGGTTAATACTGCTCGTGTGTTAACCTTAAAGACATGCGCCGTTTGCTTCTCAGTGGATGTCAGAGATAGTCTTAGAGGTATTAAAAAAATAGAGTTGGCCAAGTATGTCAGCGTCATGGTACAAATCTTAAATATTATTAGCAAATTACCTAATTGGAGACCTCTTGGAAAAGAGTTGCGACTCAGTGAGGATTTCCTGGGTATTTTTTATAACAATATTCATAGCAGCATAAGACAATGGATGTTACTGTGCTGTCCGCCACGTTGTTCCCACAGCTCTTTGACAACTGGTTTGTACATTGTGGTCACCCATCCAAGCACTATCCAGGTTAAATTCTGGTTAGCTCGGAAAACCTGATGGGATCGGGTGCATTCCGGGTGATTTGTTGTAACGTTCTGACCTGCCCTACTGGACATCTGTGAAAAAGAGCTTTATAGCTCATCGGATTCCTCCAGTATAAATATTCTGATTATGATTTGACTAATGACATACAAAAAAAAGACTATACCAAATGGATCTTCAACAAAAGATGATAATAATTTGGATTCTTGTGTTTCAAGACACACCTGTCATTACGTCATGGATAGGCATTATAATTGCTGCGTTGATAAATTGTTGTACTTGTATGTATGTTGAACTTATTTTGCACCGTACGTAGCCACCCGTGCTAATCGGAGGTGCGAGGAAGGACAAGGTAAAGATCAACAGTGGTACTTCAGAATTTATGGCATCCATAAAAAGGAATGCAAATGTTATTGTATTTTATCAGTGTAGCACAATGATCAACACCATGGTACTCAACGAAGGGTATTCTGCCTATTAGATTGTCAATGCTACCAACATTCCCTCTCATTTCTGTCTTGCGTGATGATCACATAACTCCTGCTTCTAAACGGGATGATCGGCATTTGTCCAAGCCCTCCAGTCGTCCTCATTGTCAGCAACACTTCTTCATAAAATCCGATCCAATCCACCGTTTGTCACTGCACACACACACACGCGCGACTCAGAATCCATTGTTGTGAGTGCAGACCGGGGTCGGGCTCCTCTGATAAATCAAACATCTCTCAGCTGCTTGGCAACACGGGGAAAAAACGTTATTTGTTTTTAGTATCCAGACTTTAAACAAATGTTGACTGGAATAATTCTGAAAGAGGGCTTAGCTTTCGGTGGTGGGTGTGCAGTCGTGCAGCGTGGTGGGCATGGGCACTGATGCCATTAATGAAATGGTGCTCTCCCCTGTCCATTTTTTTTATCTCCCTGGTGCCCACGTGAGCCACGGTGCAGTTGCACCGCCTGCACACTCAATCGCTACACCACTGAGCTGGTGCGCAGTGCGCTCAGTTTTATAATCGCACAACGGAGTGGTTCCCAGGAGTGGTTCCCACAATCGCCCTGCGCTCCATGGG